CCCAGCTGGCGGCCCAGGGTTTGCACCCGGGCGGGGCAGGGGAGCGCTGCCTGAGAGCCCCGTGCCCTATTTCGTTCCTGCGGCTTCCCTGGGGAGCCCGGTCTGTGGCGACCCGACTTCTCCACGCCTTTCCCTAAACTGAGAGAAAGGGTGGTATTCAGGGTCCGCAGCGGGGATGCAAGGTGGGCAGGTTGGGGAGGCAGATCTTTAAAACAGCAAAATGCTCAGCTCTCTCTTTCAGAGTTGCCTTTGGCCACGTTGCAAAGGGGCCCCTTTCCTTAGCTGCGTCCTGGATCTGATTTATTATTACTGTTCCCCCGGAACATTTGCTTAACTGGATAGATGCTGCTGCTCTGGATCATTATCATAATCAAATTGCGCTTATTAAGTGCTCCTTGAGCTGTGTTCTCAAATGGAAATCATTTACTGAGTTCGTGCAGTAGCTTCCGGCAGATCCTGGCCAAAACCCAATTCATCGAGTTACTGAAGTGGCACTGTTAATTTATTTTTTCATTTTACCACATCCATAAATTCTAAGATTAAGAACCTGATAGCTATCTGCTTTTATGCATCCACGCCTCCTCTGGGTACAAAAAGCAGAGCACCTAGCAGGTCTCAGGTTTAAAGATGAACTCCCAGTTTGAAGATGGGAGAAGAAAAAGGCAGGATATTCCTGTCCTGCTCTGTCATGGGTGAAGGTTTTTCCAACTGTTTTCTCCACACTCGCTGAGGGGCTTCTGCACGAATAGAAATGGTCTGCAGAGTGCAGGACTCTAGAACTCCTTCCTTCAGGGCATTGCCCTCTGACCACCTGTTCACCGGCATGCCTACCCCAGCCCGGTAGGTGCAGGCCTCGACTACCCTCGACTCTCTTCTCCCCTTCTCCCATCAACCAGCTCTGCCTGCCCACCGTTTCTCATCATCCTCGCCTCCCTGCTTGCGGCCTCTTCCTCTCTCTCCCCTGTGCTGCTGGGAGCCCCTGCCTCTCTTTCCCACCCGTGTTGCCCACTGCTGGCTCTTCTGTTCCACAACATCCAAGACCTCCCGTTGCCTCCAGAATAGTTTGAA